CCTTACCTCACTTGTGCAGCGTAGTAAGATTTCCGAATTACTGTATATAAGTCACGTGATAGACTCCAGTGATTGAAACGTAACAAATTACGAATTTTACGAAATCGCGAAACCAATATTGCTCTAATATAAACTAAATCATTAATAAAAATATAATAACTTTTGTCAAATCATTTTTAATTATTAAATTTTTCTATTATAATAAATTTATAGAAATTCAATAAATCGTTAATTTAATTCATATTAGAGCCGCGAGATTTAGCAAAATCTCGAATAACACAGTCGATCACGTGACATTTAACGATGGACATACATGTAATTCGGAAATCTCACACTGCACGAGTGAGGTAGGATTCTGCACGAGTGACGCACGGGGAGCATTTTTCCGAACCCCAAAATAGCGACCTAAACTGTTCTTTATTAGTGTAACATTAAATATATTGAATAAGGAATAACGTTTATTGTATTTTGAACTTTCGTTAATAATGAATTTTATTGAAAGAATGATTAAAGCATCTTTAGGTGATGTTTATTAATCAGTTGATATTTCCATTAATACTTGTTCAGTAAATTCATATCATAGGTAGTTTAATTGATGTGAGTTATATTTTTACTTTAATTACGATTACAGACAGTAAGCATATTTTCATTAAGATTTGTTGAGCAAATTCATATCATGTGTAATTTAATTGATGAATTCATTTAGAGGGTAAGCATATTTCATCATTATTTGTTGAGTAAATTCATATCATAGGTGATTTACTTTAATTTAACTACGATTATAGTCGGTAAGATATATTCATTAATATTTATTGAGTAAATTTATATCATATGTGATTGATCTGAGTTATATTCTTTACACTAACTATAACATAGACTGTAAGCATATTTTCATTAATATTTGTTGAGTAAATTCTTATCGTGGGTATTTTAATTGATGTTATATTCTTTACTTTACTACGATTATAGATAGTAAGCATATTTTAACTAATATTAATTGCCTAAATTCATATCATGGGAGGTTTAATTGATATGAGTTATATTCTTTACTTTAACTACAATTACAGATAGTAAGCATATTTTCATATCCGTTAAGTAAATTTATATCATAGGTGGTTTAATTAATCTGGGTTATATTCTTTACTTTAACTACGATTATAGACTGTAAGCATGTTTTCATTAATATTTTGTTGTGTGAATTTATATAATATATTATTTAATTGATCTGAGTCATAATCTTTACTTTTAGGGGGTAAGCATATTTTCATTAATATTTGTAGAGTAAATTCATATCATATGTGGTTTAATTGATCTGAGTTATATTCTTTACTTTAACTATGATTACAGACGGTAAGCATATTTTCATTAATATTTGTTGAGCAAAATCATATCATATGTGGTTAATTGATCTGAGTTATATTCTCTACTTTAACTACAATTACAGTCGGTAAGCATATTTTCATTAATATTTGTTGAGTAAATTCATATCTTCGATGGTTTAATTAATTTGTGTTATATTTTTTACTTTTAGGGGGTAAACATATTTCCATTAATATTTATTAAGTAAATTTACATCATATATTATTTAATTGATCTGAGTTATATTCTTTACTTTTAGGAGGGAAGCATATTTTCATTAATATTCGTTGAGTAAATTTATATAGTAGGTGGTTTATTGATCTGAGTTATATTCTTTACTTTAACTATGATTACAGACGGTAAGCATATTTTCATCAATATTTGTTGAGCAAAATCATATCATATGTGGTTAATTGATCTGAGTTATATTCTTTACTTTAACTACGATTCAGACTGTAAGCATATTTGCATTGATCTTTGTTGAGTAAATTCTTATCATATGCGGATTAATTTATCAGAGTTATATTCTTTACTTTTAACTACGACTATAGATTGTAAGTATATTTTCATTCATATTTTATTGAATGAATTTATATGATAGGTGGCTTAATTGATCCGAGTTATATTCTTTACTTTTAGGGGGTAGGCATATTTTTAAGTAAATTCATATAATAGGGGATTTAATTGATCTGAGTTATATTCTTACTTTGACTATGATTACAGACTGTAAGCATATTTCATTAATAATTGTTGAGTAAATTTATATACTGTAGTAGATGGTTTAGTTAATCCGAATTACATTCTCCACTTTAACTACGATTACAGACGGTAAGCATATTTCATTAACATTTGTTATGTAAATTTATATAATATCTAGTTTAATTGATCTGAATTAAAATATTTACTTTAACTACGATTATAGACTGTAAGCATATTTTCATTAATATTTGTTAAGTGAAAATTAATATAATTGACCTGTTATATTTACTTTAACTACGATTACAGACTGTAAGCATATTTTTATTAATGTTTGTTGAGTAAATTCATATAATATGTGGTTTTATTAATCTGGGTTATATTCTCTACTTTAACTACGATTAGACTGTAGGGCATATTTTCATTAATATTTGTTGAGTAAATTCATATAATACGCGGTTTAGTTGATCCGAGTTATATTCTTGCCTTTAGGGGGTAGGCATATTTCATTAATACTTGTTGAATAAATTCATGTAGTATGTGGTTTAATTGATTCGAATCACATTCTCCACTTTAACTATGATTACAGACGGTAAGCATATTTTCATTAATATTTGTTATCCTAATTGAAAGACCTTTTTCTGTTTACTATTAGTTCTAATATTTGAGTGATAATATAATTTTAATTACTTAGATAAATGCAACCAATGTAAAAAAAAAGTCACTGATTTCTGGTGTCATTCCTGTAATTCCTTTCGTTTTAAAGAAGAATTTTATAAATGGACAAGCGGAAATAAAGATGTTGATAACTTCATACAAAAAGCGCAATTAGAAGCAACGAGAAGATACAAGACACTTGAATGGATTCCGTACGAAAAATTTGAAAATATCGAAAAATTTGGTGAAGGTGGTTTTGCGAAAGTTTATTCGGCTGATTGGAAGGAAGGATATATCTTATATCTAAGCAAATCTGGTCGATGGAAGAGATCCGGGAAACTAAAGGTAGCACTAAAATGTTTAAAAAACTCTCAAGAGATATCTAAAGAATATTTGGAGGAGGTAATAATTATATTATCAATACAATGAAATTTTAATCCCTTTCGTAGTGCATAATAAGATTAAATATTTATTAATGCGACCATTTAGAAACATATAAATTACTTTGCTGATAATGAATTTAACTTTAAATCTAGATAAAAAACCTTCATAAATTAAACGATGTTAGATCACAGATTACCAGATGCTATGGAATCACCAAAGACAAAAATTCAAACCTTATGATCGTTATGAAATTTGTTGATCATACTAAGGTGATTCACGAAATATCGTGGAAAGAGAAGTTTAAGCGTTTACATTATACTGCACTCGGATTATACAAAATTCACAAATCCGAATTAGTTCATCGGGATTTTCACCCTGGAAATATTCTTTTTTCTAATAAGAATGATGAGGTTTACATAACAGATTTAGGTTTATGCAAACCAGCTAATTATAATGCGAAAGATGTCGAACTATATGGAGTTCTTCCTTATGTAGCGCCTGAGGTTTTTCATGATAAGATACATACAAAGGCTGCAGACATCTATTCATTTGGAATGTTTATGTGCGAAATATTTTCTGGCGCCTCTCCTTTTAGAAATGTTGATTGTGAAAATGAGGAAGAAAGTAAAACCCTTGCAATTGAAATCTGTAACGGGAAGCGACCAGAAATTCAAGATCTGCCTCCTTTAATAGCTGAATTGATAAAAATATGTTGGGATGCTGATCCAGCAAGACGACCATCCGCAGAAGACTTGTGTAAAATTTTAAATGCTTGGAAATATTTTGCATCCGATTCCGAACTTGACAAGCAAATTAATGCAAGTGAAGAGAATCAGACGCGTCAACCAAGCGAACAAATTCATTTAAGTCAATTTCTTCGTACAAGCAAACTTCTTGATTTTAAAAATCTTCCACAACCCAAAAATTCCGAAATTGAGATTGATTTAACAACTCAAGAGCAAAATCTTAATAATGGCCGAAAAATTAAGGCCCAGGTTAAATAAGATATATAAGAAATTCTGTCAGCCAAAATTTTTTCTTCTAAATATTCTCAAATCCTCTACTTTTACCTTGTTGTATCGAAAAACTTTGTATAAGACTGTGTAATGAATTGAAAAATACATTCTATTGTACTCTTCTGAATTCTGGAAATATTTTTAACCCCAAAGTAAATGCACGTTGAATTTCATTGCACAAATAAACAAACTAATAAGTTATGAAACGAAGAGTAAATTTTCACGATGAGAAACAAAACAAATAAAGGCTTTATAGCGTAAAATACTGTATATGTTTCCGTAAATTTTATATAAAGATTGTTTTATAAATAAAGCCGAACTTTGAACAGATAAGTTAATTAATTGAAAAACTTTTTTATTAAAATCGAAAAATTAAAACTTGGAGCATACAAACCGATATTTAGTCTTCATTCTAAATATTGAATAAAGATCTCGATTTATGGGTGAAAATTTTTAATTTTTTTTTTCAACAGTTATTGTGTTGTATTTTATTCGTGGCTAATTATAAAGAAATTCTAAATTATACAGTATTTGCCAAGTAATGGTTTTGTTTAAATTCGGAGATGCGATCATCAATCATGTACGCGTTCTGACAAAGAACACTACCACGTGAACGTACGTAAATATACCACCGTTTCTGTTAACATACAATTACTTGAAGAAGTTAGTTCAATAATTACATAAAGTATTTAAAGACTTTTATCAAACGACCTCACGATTTCGAGCTATTCATTGTGTTAAACATTCTTAGTTTAACTTCCAAATAACTAACATTTTTCAATGAACCAAAGTGTGTTTCAAGTGTTCTGAGATAACATTGACGAGCCTAACTAAACCTCTTAAGCTATTGACATGTAGACATGTCTTTACACTTAGAGTGTATTGATAATGATTGCAGGCTGTGCCATCAATGCCCGTCAATTGATGATCAATGATACTATGTAACTCCCTCCATTTCTGCATGTGGATCCAAATAATTATGAAAGTGACAGCAAAAGTAGATCTAATAGGGGCACTAAGTCACAAGAAATTACCAAAGAACTATCAGTTGATGATCAAATTCTAGATTCTATAGAACCATTGCCTAATAGTATGCCATCCGAAAATACTAACATGGAAAAAAAGCAGATCAGCTCAATCACCTGTATTATGAGATTGGTGTAGCCAGAAAGAAAGGTGATCAATCAAATCGGAAAGCCATTCAGAGTTATTTTCGATTTAAAGAAGCTCTGTCGATATGTCTTACTTTATTATTAAAAGTAATTTATTGCGATTGGATAATACAAAACTTAACATTGAAGTAACGGAACACCTTCCAGAAAACACTACCCGTGATATAGTGTTGTTTGCAAAGTAATAAAATAAAGAGAACATTTATACTAATAGTAATAAACAAAAAATATAACCAGTGTATTTAACAGGCTAAAAAATTTGATAACAAAATATTTTGATACAATAGAAAGTAATAGCTTAAAGAACAGGCAAAACAATAATATAGTATCTAATTTTTTAATAATAGGTAAACATCATTTTTTTATTTATTAATATTTTTTTTATTCTACACTAACTGGAGCCATTGCTCAGTATACTTTATTATTGTAGAGATTTGTGACTTGATTACATATTAAATACATGATCATTGCTATAATATCTAACTTATTTTGGATATCAAACTATATCAGATTTCTCCAAATGCCAGCTCTGAGTTTTTGGTTTATTCTATAACCTGGGTTATAGCAAAGAGACCAAGACTAGCATGCCAAGACTTCACTAGTGTGTTTAGCATCACTGCATTTTTTAGGTTTTATTTGGGGGTAGGGCTCCTAACGATATCACTTCGATACCACTTCGATACCAGTTTGATACTAGTTTGATACTTAAATTTACTATAAAAAAATATAAGTAGGTTACAATTCATATATTAAATTTACTATAAATAGGTACCATTTTGATACCAGTTCGATACCAGTTTGGTACTTTTTCAGAGCCCTATTTGGGGTATTTTTAAGGAGAAGAGAAAGTGGAAAACTGGGGATAATATCTTTTTCGATGAATAAAATCCTACTCAAGATTATTTTATTGTTCTGTACCACCTGCAGCTGACCTTTGACCATTTAATTCCTGCCTTTCTATTACAGTTCAAGGATGTTCAAGGTACTTACAGCTATAGATTTACAACCTACAGTAGTCTTTTACAGCTACTTGGGAATACTAAATGTCTTTTCAGAATAAGCGGTACAGGGGTGGACTTCTTACTGGATTGGGATGGAACTTTCAGATAATCTTTTTGTAGAAACGATACCAGATATTATAGGGAGCGATCACCAAACCATCTTGTACTAAACCGAACACCTCATATACCTTACAACTTCCAGCGATTATCGTAGTACCAACCAGATAATTGTTGCACCACGACACCTTTTCTGAAAATCACAATCTCAATACCCACTGGTTCAGCTTATGAAACAGTTCTCATGATAAACAGCGCTTATACAGGTTATGACACTAAATACCATATTAATTCTATTCAACTACCTTCACATGTGATTGAATTGGTATCTTGTGATTTGACCTATAAAATGTTAACCACTATATTACAGACCCATAGATCTTTTTATTTATTAACATATTACAATATAAATATATTTTTTAAAAAAAATATTTTTCACATGTAAATTGCAGTAAGTTAAAATGCTAGCTTGCCTATCCTAATTATTTAACTTTTATTAAAAAAGAAATTTTAAGACTAGTATATCAATTTAATAAACAACTATCCTATTAATGCAAATTTGAAAATTTACAAAACCTTTGAAAAAATTCATAATCAATAAATGTTATTGGCCTTAAATGTTTAAGAATATTAAAAATTATATCTAATTATATGATCAATATCAAAAATATGAAAAATATAGAACACCAGGATTCTTGCATTCCATTTCTGTTGAAGAAACCTTTTTTAGAATTGATATAGACATTATAGAATCCTATCAATCACAAACAAAAAAAAATTATATTATTATTGCAACAGATTATTTCATCAAATAATCTGAAGCAGAAACAATCTTTAAGCTAATAAAAAAAGTGTGATAAAATCTATCTATCAAGTTATAATATATAAAAATGAATAATTAAAACAAATAGTATCTAATAGAAACAGTTATTTTTGAAATGAAATAATAAATGAATTACCCTAATAATTTGAGATAAAATATCTATTATTTATGCCATACCATCTTCAAACTAATAAATTAGTTAAATAATTTAACAAAACTTTGTATGGGTTACTTGAAAAGTTAACTAAAGGCAAAGATAATTGAAACTAACATATTTTGCCAGTACTTTTCAATTATAGAAACAAACCAATTTTCTATAAAAATGTCATTATTTTATCTATTTTATAAATGAAAACTACAAATGTTTACAATAGATATAGATAAAATATTGCAATCAATTATTTTTGACTAATTATATACTTTATTAGAAAAACTTTTATAACAAAAAAAAATAAGCAAGAATATTTATAAATAACAAAGACAGAAACAAAAATTTGATTAAAAAGTAACCAAGTACAAAAAATAAATTTGATCAAAAAGTAACTAAGTACAAAAATTCAAAATCAGAGATAAAATATGGATATATACAGTAATGTATTAGTAATAAATACTTTATAGAAAAACTAAAATCAAAGTGAAAAAAACTTTTTTATATTCATAATATCTTTAAACTTAAAATAATTAAAAGAAAAATAAAATACTTAGAAAAGCCTATAAAAAGAATAACTGTTTCAAACAATATATTTCTTTTTTAAATTTTAATATTTTCAATATACAAACAACAATATTATGACTGCTTATATTATTTTGATTGGAAATCTTCTGCAAAACATTTTTGAAGATATAAATAATATTGTATCAACTTCTTATAATCTTCTACAGATTATCAAATTGCAACTTTTAAATATCTTTAAAAGTTACAAAATGTATTATAAAGAAAGAATAGAATTATAATCTCTGTATATGCTTACTATTCTAAGGAATTGTTAAAAATCACTTCTAGCTAAATATAAAGATCTTATTTAAATTTACAAATTATTAAATACTACTCTTTAGCTTCCATATATATATATTATCTTTTTAATAAAACTGGAACTTATTATATCTATAGAATCTGATTTACTACTCTTTGTCTAATTAAAAAACTATTCCACTTTAAATTTATTATTTGAATATAGAATTAAATATATAAAACTTACAGATTAGTGAAAAAAAATCATTATTCTTAATTTTTATTCAATATCTTCACTATCTTCTATTTAATTTTCATTAATATTTACTTTTGAAATCATATTTATTTTATAATAGTTTTATATTACAGATCTGCTATTACATCTTCAGCACCTATTACATTTATTGTACCTTTAACATTTCTAAAATATTTATATTATATTATATTTTAATTTTATACTATTTTTATTAAAGTATTTATTTATATAAATATCAATATATCTGAATATTCTAATAAAAATAAAATCTATATTTTAACTTATATTTTTATTATAATATATACTGTTAGCAGAAAAAATGTATAGGTCACTAGGATTATCATTAGTTATGTGATATGGCGTGATCCATCAGACCCTGCATCAAAAAGCTTAAATAGTTTAAATAAGAATTTGCAGAACATGACAGTAGATTAGTCTACATATTGCAATAAATATAAATATGAGAGAATTTAACTAGTTAAAAAAAAGAGTTAGTCTCAATATTGTATAAACTTGTATTACTTGCAGTTGTACCAATATAATTAATAAACTTGTCTAATTAATTATTTGTCACTTGGAGAATCTTGAAAGATCACAACTGCTTGTGATATAGGATTAGATTGGCATCTGATAAGAAGGAAGTTTATTAACAAGTGCTTTTGGTATACAAGCGACATAAACTCTTACTTACCTATTATTATATAATAACCTAGTCTGGATTAGCAACAAACTCACTATGTACTTTTAATTAGTTTTATTCTAACTTAATTCTGGCTTCTAACAATTTACTATATATAGTAATTGTCAACTTGTAAATAAAAAAGGTAAGTTTATTAATTAAGCTATAGTATAAATTACAAGTTTTGTATTTGAATTAAACAGAAACTTATTTATTAAGCAATTAGCTAACTAACTTTTTTATTTTATTCTATATCTATTTATACTACTTGCAATATATTCTCAAATAAATTTTCATATTTTATAATTTTACAATAAACTTAATTATTATATGAATTACAAGTTTTGTATTTGAATTAAGCAAAAATTTCTTTATTAAGAAATTAATCAACTAACTTTTTTATTTTATTCTATATATATTTATATTACTTGCAACATATCTTCAAATCAATCATTACATTCTATAATTTTATAATAAGCTTTTACAAACTTTGTGTCTCTACTAATATATAATCTAATACATTTGATACTATACTATTGTTATTAACGCCGGCAAGTCTGTCACCGCTTCGGAACTAGGCTTGCCGTTGACTATCGTTTGGGGTCGTGTCGCTTGCAATACCAAAGGTACTTGTTGGCACGACAATTCTTTAACTTTCCTTCTTCTCTCTTGTTCCTGTGACTCAATTATTCACCAATAGGCTCGATATTGGTTACCACCGGATTCTTTAGGTGACAAGTGTTTTATTAAGGTCAGTTTATTATTATCATGCTGCAAAATACAGGTTTATTACAAGGCAATTCCTTTTTTATTCCATCTCAATTACTAACTCATCACTAGCTATTCTACTCCTATTTATATTACCTGCGACGCGTCCACCGATCTAACGTCGCGTCATGCAAATCTCCAACAGACTTCCTAAACTTTCCTCCCCACATTGATGCATGAACTGATGCATCGCGCCGCGTCACGTGACCCGCGCCGATCCCGTCCCTATACCCGATCCTACTGCTAACAATATGTAACCTTTGTGCATGTGAAGTTCTTGCCATAAAAGTTTGTTACCTGTTCCAAAAATGAATAGATTTTGTACTGTTTTAAAATTAGCATAATAGAGTATAAGTGCTATTTTTTTGTTAACTTTGATAAAGAAGCTAATTGACTGCTGATAATTTGGAGTTTCAAAGGGGCATGGAGAGGAGCAGATATTGATGTTATATTTTT